ACACACACACACACACACACACACACACACTACTTATTCTTCATTTTCAATAAATTTTTTAACACTCAGTGATAAAAAATTTTTATGTGACAAAAAAAAATACTTGAAACATACAGCTGTAAGTCTACATCTACCCAAAATATATTCAATCCTTTATTTAAAAAAAGAGAGAGACATAGAAAATATAAACAACTCTTCCATGAAAAGAGGAAATTGTCTGAACAAACTTACAATGGTCAAAATATCACTCGTAACATTACCGCCATAACTTATAGGATAACTGACAAATATTCTCACATGCATTGTTTGGATAAACAAGAGGGAATCCTCAACAGCTGTGGCACTAGAAATTCTTTTAGAGAGGATTAGAATAAATTAATCAGTGAGATCTTTATTTTCCTTTTTTATCAGCTATATTTTTGTGTGCCAGCAATACCAAATGTGGGGCATGCTTTTACCCTATTCAGAATCTCTACCAGCCTACCCTCAAATTGAAACTATAAGTTGAGTGAGAATTAAGACTTGTCCCAGATACATGGCTTATGTTATACAGAGTAGATTGATATGAATTTTAAATTCCATTTCATTTCTTAATTTTACAATATAGATGGACGTGAAGTAGGTTTTTGATGTGTTTTGTTGTGGTGGCAGGGCTTATCTTTTACAATAAATGTTGCAAGCTAAGAATGAAGATCTGCTTATCTCCAATTTCAGTAGCATAGCTTGTATAGTACAATGTATTCAGGTGAAGATGAAGACTTGCATGTCTTTAAAGTCATGATATGTTAACTTATCCAAAGGTTGGGATTAAGATTTCATTGACTTTGTCACCGTGGAATGATATTAGTTATATTAATTAACTTTCTGATGTTTTATTACACAATACATATATATGAGGATTAGGATTCAGTTATCAAAGAGGTATGATTTCTTTTTGTGTAACTTATAACTTAAGTATTAGCTACATTTTTACCTTTTTGGCATTGTTTGTGTTACACAGTATAGTAACATTTCAGGCTTCTACAGTTTTCCTTTTCAAGACATTTGGTTTCTGTTTCCTCTCTTATCCTGTACATTTAAGTATAGCTGGACAAGAAAATTTTAAGAATTATTTGGTTACTATCCATTTAATTTTCAGTTTTATAAATTAGTTCTTGGCTATGTTAAAAATTGAAAGCTAGTTTTGCAGAAGTTAACATTAGAAAAACACCTCATATGCATGTTTATCCAGAACAGAGGTTACAATAGGTAGGATATCTTAGACAAAAAATACCCTTATATCTGTTTCAGTGCATTATATTTTGTGGAAATTTTGGCACTCAGTGAAATCAAGTTAACCAGCTCTGTGGTCCTTACATTGGTATAATCTAAATTAGACTTTTGTGGTTTTTTGAGGGAGGAGTATATTGCAATTAATATTGGCACATTTTGTGTTCTCTCTTTTAAAAAAACAAACTTAATGCATTTTTAAAATTCACAAAACTTACTTATAATTACATTAAAACTAGTAATGTGAGACCATTGAATATTTGTTGAAAAAGTAAGTCCAAAGTTTTTCTACTTGGTCCAACAGATCACATCCTACACTGTTTCAACTATATAGATTATCATCCTAAGATAACTATTTTAATATATTTTATCTATCAACTAATGTAAATAACTTTCAGTTATCATTTTGGTAAGAAACCAACCCAATTGTTTTATTTTTTCATTTTTCAGATGATTGGCTCACATGCATCTTCTCATCCATTGATCAAAATGATGCAGAAAGAAAGTTTACTTTTGCACTAAAAGTGAATGACAGAAATATTTTTGAAGGCAGGAGATGTGTATAATAATTTCCTTGTGATGATTGAAACACTTGTTTAATATTTTTTTCCCATTAGAAGTTTAAATTTGTAGCTTACATAACTGTGATATAAAAAACAAAATAATAAAAATTGATAATGCATATATGGAATTAGAAATAGACTTTATTCATCAGATTACATAGATTTCACCATTGCAGTGTATTCTTCTAGTAACTAACAATGAAATATAGATAAATGATTTCCAATAGGTGTTATGCATACACTCAGAGGTACACTAAGGTGTTAGAAGGAGCCTGTAGACTACTACTAATAATAATAATTAATATATACACATACATGAATAAACAATTAACATGTATTGTTAAAAGAAAGTGACAACACTGCTGTCTTGATTCACTTATCAGCTATATTTTGAGATGTTTTTTTTTATTACATTTCCAGTCTGTTTGCATTCAGTGCAACACATTTTGACTGTGGTGTTTGCTGTATAAAAATTAAATGTTGTGATCGATCAGTTCTTAATAGCAACAAAATGCAATGAGGTAATTATGAACAAACAGGTGCTTAACAACACTAGGGGCAATATTAGTGTTGTTAGATTTATTAATGGTATTACAGAGGTGGGATACTCGGATAGACATGTGTCAGGTTAGAAGTATTTCAGTCTAAAAGGTTGGAAGCTACTATGACTTATCTTTCTCAGGTGTAGAAACAAGACTCCTACATTGTCAGGTACATCAACTGTTAAGAGGCTTTCATTTCAACTAACACATTGAACTAATTTCTGAAAAGGTCTTATCTTCAATCACCCAAAGCTATCTCGATCCTAGACTGCCCTCTAAGCATTGCTAAAGTTTTTTGTTAAAAGTGCACCAGTCTTTTATACCCCGTCATTTCAGAATGTGCTGATGATGTGACTACATTCTACCAATCATACTGAACAATCTGTACTAGTGCAACTACCTCCCTCTACTATTCTAGAATAATCCTCACTTTCTCGATTGGCATTCTAGTGTGTAGACATGTTTTAACTCACTCTCCATGTGCTTGATCACAAATTTTTATCTGTTTCAACTTTAAGTTTTGACTTTTTATGTTTGATTTCCATTGTTTCTGTTTGTTTGTTTCTGGTTTGTACCTGCCAATTCTTTTACTATTTAGAAAATATGACTTACAGATAATTGTTAAGGCATAACTTGTGTAAAAGTTTTGGACATATTGTTCTTAACAAATGTTAATCATAAAATACCATGACTGTAATACATAAATGTAAATCTTGATGATGATTTTGTAATTTGTAAAAACAAAGTATAATGAAAAGTGTACATTACATGTTTGTCTTTTCTTTTTGTAACAAAGAACACAAGAACGTGTGATAAAATTTTCTATTTGGAGAAGTAGTGTTATTTTTCACAAACATGGTTTTATCATCAAAGGAATTCTAGAATTATCTATACTTTATTTTTCTACTTTATGACTGAATTACATTTAAAATGGCCACTGGCAAAAGTGATATTCAGCATTTGTCATAGGCATTTCTCCAGAAAAATTACTTATTAAATTATTTTAAATCTTTGAAGTTTTCTCTTTACAGAATCAATGTATCCATTTCCAAAATTTTATCTTTGAATGGTGTTTTACATTTTCTGAAATGAAGTTTTACTTTTTAGTATTTAATTGATGATCTAAGTCAATTTTATGTTTTTAAACTTTGAGTTTTCATTTATAACTAAATATTACACAAATATTATGATATCATATTTGTTTGTGAGATAAAGAGTGGTGATGATTCTGTTCTGACATTAACATCAGAATGTTAATGACGTTTTAGTTCCTAGATGTGATCCAGAAATTCCAGACCTAAATCAACTGGTTGAAGATCTGAACAAGAATAACAACCTTTTGGAGTTTGTTTCTGCTACAAGACAAAGATTCAAGGCCTTGCTCTAAAGTTCATGGTTTGTATTAAGTTTCAACAGTGTATAAAATATGTGGTTTATGGTAGATAAAAAATAATGAATATGCAAGTTAAAAATTACTTAAGTTAGCAACTCCAGCTCTTATGGCAGGGTTCTCAAATCCACCGGGAAGATGGAGAAAATTAAGATTTTTGCCTCCCAGTTGATAACTGACCAGAAATTTTTAAATTTTGCAAAAACAGAATAAACTGGGAAATGTGAAGCGTGCCTTCCAAAGTTTCTGTCATTTCTTGCTTTCTGCCATTTTCATGGTCATGCCAATCTGTTTGATAACATTGCTTCTGATTGGTTGGTAGAAAAGTTAGTAGGCAATCTTATGGGAATGATCAAGGTGGGTGTTTGGTAGTCATAACATGAGTTGGTTTATGTGATTTTACATCAGCCTCCATAATGGACACACAATAAACCATTCAGAACTTTTACTAAATGCAAGTACGTTGCTTATACATATTCCTCCAGATTTACAGTATGTGACAGAACTAACATCATAGGGAAGTGGACCCAGTTCAGCACACTAAAGCACAATGCTTTTTACCTATTTGTTTTTTTATTTTTCTTGTAAATAAAATCTGGCATGATTGTTATTATTATTATTATCCATGATAATTACATCTTAGAACCATATAATTGTTATTAAAAAAAGCAAAATTAGAAGGTGGTAGTTTTGTGACATTATATCATAATAAGATTGATATTTGTTTTGAAATATTTTCTGATTCTATATTATGGATTTCTAATAAGAAGAAACAATACCATATTTTCATGCAAGTGACCCACAGGTTGTTTCTTAAATTAGTTTTCAAACATTCCAATTGCAGAGTATAGTCATGTAGATAATACGTCTTTTTTTTGTTTGTTTGTTTTAAGACTGAAATTGCCAATTTTCTATTTTGAGTATTCACTTGTGTTGTTGTTCTTCAACATGTGGAGCAATTCATCAATTAGCTGAAAAGTATATCTGTTAGCAATCCCAGTTATTCCCTGGTCAAAGGACAAAGTATAAATGTGAATACTTTTGACTGTATTTATCAATATTTGAATATATTACAATTGCAATTTAATTACTCACATATTTCAAGACAAGTAGGTTTCACTTTCAGTGTGTCCCATAGCGTTACCATAACCTTTAACCTGTGATTGCCTTATCACATGACATAACCACAGGGGATTGAGTTAAATTATCAATGAGATACAAGCTTTTGGTAAGTTTAATCATAATATTGTTACGTCTCCGTTTGTTAATTAACTTCCAGTAATTTCGTTCCGACGAAACTTTAGCGACACAAGTATTTACTTAATAAAACTGGTTTATTCTTTCCGAATATAACTCTGTGATACACTTAATCTCATTATTCGCGCTAAAACAAACAGTATCACGAACGAACGTTTACTTCAACAATATCTGTGACTGCAGTTCAATTACTCACTGTCCACACCTTACCGCGTCACGTTGTCCCCTCCTATATATATATATCCGCCCACCCTATATCTAGTAAGAACTTGAACATTCGCCAAAGTACATGATAGTTCTAGAAACGTTGCGTCACAGTGTCATGTGACTCGCTGACGCAACAATAACATTTTCACACTTTGGATATTCAAGATTCAGACAATTGGAAAAATAATTATGGTATGTGCAACAACCATTTCTTTATAACGGAACACAAATTCAAATAAAAGTACCCTCTTTACAAAAAGAACACGACTTTTACTAGGACTGTACGTGAGGGTTTGATTATATCTTTATTGATCTAATTTTTAAATTTAGTACTAAAAAACAGGGGTTCATAAAAAAACATTTTTCCAATAAAGGGTATTACTTTTAATATATATTAACATTAACATTACAGTTTATATCGGTAAAATTTATGAAAATTTTGAGCTCTGTGCATTGAATCATTTTGATGCAACGAGTTGCGTATGACTAAAAAGCACAATCCGGACACTTTTCCCGTGCAGTACGCCCCACCCCCCGAGAATGTAATTTTCTGCAAAACCAAAATAAAATGTGTGATGTTTAATTTTTCACATTAACAGCTGAGCACTTTCATTAAGCCTTAATCTCTCTTTCCACAACTATGTATATATATATATATATATATATATAT